CTCCAAAATATTCTCGGATGCGAACGTCGGATCCTGCCTTTTGCGGAAAATCTGTATTTCAAACACGTTTAAAGATGCGCCCAGCATTGCCGAAAGGGACCACCTCGCAAAACAAATGCTTCATTCGTCTTCGATCCAGATGAACACCTACGAGAAACATTACCTACCTGATGGATCACGAATAAACTTCGGTGCTTAAGTCTCAATGTACACTTTTTGACATCGAGACTTGAGCTACTCCGGAGTGGTGGGCGAGGTGTTAACAGACTTGGTTGCTATACACGGCGTATCTTACCGAGGCAAACCACTTTTGTGCCCCGAGGTCCGTTGATCCGCCGCTCTCACCGTGCGGCTGTCCATGGCAGCTGGAGAGCGAGAGAGGGACTCTTACCACGGCGCGGGTGCGTTACTCAATTACCACGTGCCGGCGGGTGTGCACGATCGCGCCAGGTGGAGAGGCGCCGTATCATGGCCAAGTAAGATTGGGTTTATTGACGGAATTCTTCTTTCGCCGCATGATATCTCTCGTATGCCAAGCCTCCTGAGCTTTTTGAAAGCGCTTTGGACCACCCTGCTCCCGGATAGCTAAGACGCGTACGTCGGATTCCTTATAGTACCGGGTCCGATGTAATGCCGGCCAAGGATCTGGAATCCATTGGAGCCCAGAAAGATCTTTCACACGATACTTTCGTCGAGCCTCCATCGTTGGTATATACCCGAGCTTGTGAAGCTTCTTAAAGAAACAGAAGTTACAAATCGTGAGCCCGTCATGCGGAGGCGTGGGCCATTGCAAATTAGTATACCGGTCGTGGCATATCGAACAACGCCGCCAACAAGGTCCTATCAGGCATCTTTGCGGGCCAGGCGCTCCGTTGAATGGAACCGGATACTCGTGCATTAAGCTTCCAACAGCAACTTGAGTATCTTTGCAGGTTGATGCAGAAGCTGCTATGTCGCGGAGAGCAAGCAGCCCATTTTCGCTTACGATGCTCAGAACGGAAGCAAATTGCTCGTTCGCCGCCATGCTAGGTTGGTTTAACTTGGGCTTTCTCATACCCATCATTAAAAAAGAGGGACCGTTTCAGACGCACCAAGCTAAAATAAGTGTGTCATTGGGTTGTTTCTGCAGGAAGACGGCATCTTTCAACTTCTCCGGCACCACCCTCATCTCGCACGGTCTTCTGCTGCGCAAACACTATGCGGTGGCCTTGGGTGCTTCCCATTCGCTCAAATTTGACGCCAACGACATGGCGACCAGAAGCCTTGAGGGACCGAGTGCCTCCAGGCTGGACGGCCGCGTCTTTAACACAGCGATGTACACAAGCCTTCGACGACTTGACAGCCCGCCCGAGGATCCAGAGGGAGTATTCACGAGTGCCCCTTGTAAGACATTAGATGAGTTTCTTTGGCTAGATTTTCGGAAACCGCCGCTGAAGTATCCATATGGTGAAAATCATAGACGTAAAAACTACTTGACCTGTACAACGTAGCCGGCTTTTTTCAATCTGTCCATGGTTTTGGCGTGAAGTCGCACCCCTTGTTTATAGCGACAAAGAGCTCGGGCGAGACTAATTTCCTCTGCATGCTTTGCATAGTGCCGTGCCGAGAGAGCTCTACTAATGTCTCGTCGAGTTCGGCGATACCTTCGTATTGCTATGCATGTGGCGCATTGGCAGCTTGGGTGCTTTAAGGTGAAACTTTCCTTCGTGTTCGTTACCGTCTTATCCAACTCTGCGTTCGGATGAAATTCTGGAACGATCGATACCTGGTTGCTGCTGGCTTGATTCATTGTATGGCGAAAAGCCTGCAATCTGACGAGAAAAAAAACCACGTCAAACGCGTTTCAAACAGCCACAAAGAAAATCTGTGCAATGCTTAGGATCAGACAAAATCGACATGGCCGCGATTCACGGACCTTGTGTATTCGAGTGTCCTCAGGGCCTAAGCATAGGAGACGAGATCAAACGCCAAGCAGGATTTGGATATTATGGTTTGCCGGTGCGGATCACTTTGCAGAAGGGGAAGAAGGTTACCGAGTTTCCCTTCAAATATGGTATGATCAAGACTCCAGAGCACTGGGAGGAGACGATCGATGCCGCGTTGTCTCGGATTCCAAATGCAAACGGAATTGCGCGTCAGTAAGCTGTACGTCATTGACGTCGATGTCAAGCAAAGCAAAGGCAAGGAGCCGGGTATCATTCAATGGCAGCGGTGGATTGCAGAGCATGGTGAACCGGATACATTGCGGACCCGCACAGGTTCAGGCGGTTTCCATTATTGGTTTGATCTTAACCAGAGCAAAACCCTCACAAACACGTCGAACTTTCAGGGGTTCTCAGTAGGAGAAGAGACGTTTGGCATTGATGCTCGCGGAAGGGGTGGAATTGCTTACGCACCTCCCTCGAATTACCGGGATTCGGACGGAAAGCTGTGCAGATACACCTGGATCAATCAGGGGGATGGAGCGAATTCGGTAGCACGAGCTATGCCGGATTGGCTGGCAGATATTTGCAACACACGTTCAGGGGTACGTGCCTCTGAATCACAACAAATCAGGGCAGTAGCCGCCCAGAAAGAGTCCAATTTGCCGCTTGAAAGCACGTTCAACCTCGATTCTGCGAATACGAACGATAAGAAAAATCATGAAAGCGTTCCCGGTTTGCAATCCGCGCTGAAAGTGATCGCAGACGGTTTGAAGAATAATGATCCGAGTGATGAGAGTCGATTTTGCGGATTAAGCAAAGTAACCCAGAACGGTTGGCACATACTCGAATATAGAACGGTGGGAACTCGAAAATGCTACAACGGTGAGTCGCACACTTCGAACCAATTCTGCATTTTGAGCAATGGAGCTCTTCTACTCTATCGCTGTTTGAGCTCGAATTGCATTGACAAACCCAAGCCGCTTCTTGCAGTGCATTATTGGCCTGAGTGCCTCCCCGAGCGACTGGACAACGGCAAAGTGTTACATGATTGTGAAAAGTACATATGTGGTGATCTAGAGAATAAAACGAAAGAAGACAAGAAAGCCGGAACAAAAAAATTGACCGACATCACCATGGCCGTTCTCAATACGTATTGCGGCGTCGTGATTGGCGTGCCAAAACCAATCTATATCGAAACCGTCTTTCGTCGGACTATGGTTGGAGAAATGAAGCCGAGTGGCACAATTCTGAGATTGGGCGCCGATTTTGCTTTGCGTTGTGAGGTATTACAACTATCACACCTACCTGCGAAGACGGCGGGTCAATTCTGGCGCCAATCTCCTGAACGAAGGACGTTTGATTCGATCGTATTTGATCCCAATCTGTACGGGTGTCCATCAAGACACTACAATCTATACAACGGGCTTTGTTTTGATCCTAACGAAGTGCCTGCACTCCTTCAAGACGGGTTGCAGGAATGCGAGTCTGCATTGCCACGGCTGTTTTGGCATATACGCCATATCTTGGCAAACGGTGATGATTCCAGCTCCGAGTACATCCTCAATTGGCTGGCGCATCTGGTGCAACGGCCTGGAAGGAAGATCGGAGTGGCGCTTGTTTTCAAGTCGAAGCAGGGTGCAGGAAAGGGGATTATATGGGATTTCATCGGTACACTAATCATCGGCGAGGATCTCTATCTCTACTGCAACGACCTGGACAAGGTCATTGGTAAGTTCAACGCAATCTCTTCCAACAAGCTGCTTACCGTTTTTGACGAAGTGTCCAGCTGGGGGGGTGCTTACAAAAGTAACAATCGCTTGAAAAGTCATATCACGCAGGGAATCAACATGCTCGAGAAAAAGGGGATTGATCCAATTCAAGTAAAAGACTTTTGCAACTCCGTGTTCACGACAAACGAAGATTGGCCCATCAAACGAGAGGTTGATGATCGTAGATATGCGGCAATTGAATCGTCTAATGAAGTGCTTGGAAATGTTGAGTACTTCAGCCGATTGTTGGAGGAGCTCGAGAAAGTGGACACCGCAAGGCAATTCTTCCAGTACTTGCGATCTCGGGATATCTCGTCATGGAACGCAAAGGCGGTACCACATACTTTGTGGGGAGAATCACTGAGGGCGCATTCCATTCCCGCTTATGCAGCCATGCTACAATCTCTCCTTGAGAATGGTTGCTTCCATCCCAAAAGAGAGACGTGGGCCGCGAGCGAGGATATTTTGGCTACTTACGAGACATTCCTTCGAGAGAACAACATCCAATCGACCGAAGCTAGGCTGACGAGAACGGGGCTCTGCGGAGCCTTGCACAAAACGTTCAAGCTGCGTTCGGGGACGCGAAACTTGAGGAGGCCAAACAACGGGCCATTTGATCAAGGAGCGAAGACGGTTCGAGGGTGGTGGTTCATGCCAGAAGGCGACATTTGCAAGCTATTGCGAAGTGAGAAGATGTTCCAAGAGGGAAAGGGAGTTCTCTGGAAAGAGACGACATGGGAACGACCGTTGGGACATGCAAATGACCAGGATTATTCTTGGATGACTAGCTTCGATTCCGATATAGAAAAAGAGGCTAAGATAGAAGAGCATCGTGCGTGTTCTGGCTGCGGTCTGAAGCATATAGGTATGGAAGTTGATGCGAACTGAAAGCATTATTATCAAAGTGCCTCCATCTGTAGCGGGTTTTGAGGAGAGCTTTAGTCTATGTATTGATTGATATTGATTGATATCTATCTATCACATCATCACATTTCTTCAAAGTCTTATAAACAAAACCGTGATGCCCCCCCCAAATGACCGAGTCCACAAACAAGCGCAAAAACGAAAGAGCATCACAGGATCACAGACATCACACTTGATTCACAGTGAAAAAGAGAAAGCAAAATCAAAAATACAAAACGGATTAATTTCAAAGTGTGATCTGTGATGGTGTGATGCCTGTGCATTGCGGTGCTGTGAACCACATGTCATGTGCACTGTATCAAAGATGCCGCCGTAAGGGCATGTATGACTTGAGCTACGGGTGTGTACAGAAAGGGTCATCTAGAACACTCTGTTCGTATTATCAAAGGACTTGCCGTTCTCTTATTCTCCTACGAAGCCACCCGTTTGCTGCATCAATATTCTCGACAAACTTTGCAAGCTTCGACCTCTCAAAGTTGATGTCGAGAATGGTCGTCACCCTACCCTTGAAGTCATCGAGCCTAGTAATCTGCTGAAGGCTGCGCTTGCAATCCTTCAGCCCAGCATTCAAACCCTCGCACGCCGTCGTTGCAGTGTCCTTGTGGACCGGAAAGCTGTCTATGAAGAGCGTTGGAGGGCAGGTATGGACGCTGTAGCGCCTGGCCGCGTTTCCAACGGCGACCGAAACAGGCCCTGTTGCACATTGAAACGGAAAGAGCGTGTTAGATATCTGTACAGCTGGGAAAGTACAAGAAAGGCGGCAATAGTGCACGAGCATCTAAGGTGATATTGGACCTTGGAATTAGAGCAGCGTGCCAGCAAGGATTACAGAGCAAGAATAATAGAGGGGGGCAAACCATGGAGGCTGCTTCTCAATGAGCAGCCGACTTCAATTGAAGAAGGTTGCGTACCTGAGTGAAATCGGTCGACCAGAAACAACATGTGCTTGGCCAACACCGGCAGTCGGTTCAAGAACCATTCCTGGAGCTGACATGCACAGTCTTCGACCACAGTGAGCCCTTTGAGAGCCTCTAGGGAGTTCCGCGTGGCGAGCACGGTTCCAAAATCACTGACGCTCTCAGCTCCTTTCATATAGTGAAACCCAAGCGGTGCGCGATGGGTGCACGCCAGGATAAAAAGGCCGACCTGCATGAATCGAGATGATTTGTATCAACGCCGGCGTTCGGTTGATTGGAGTGTCACAAGACAGTTGAGCAGCGCAAAGGACCATGTTGACACGATACCGTAAATCAAGTGAAAAGGCTCCAATCGATTATATGCTAGATAGAAGTGGCTGAGCCCCTAAGGTTGACTCTTACCTGGCCCTTTGTGTGGGGCTTCTGCGGAAGCGCGCAATGCCTTTCCAGCTTCTCCTTGCTGGAACGACCTTCAGCGTTCTCCCAGTCGATAAAGTGGGGCCGCTCGAACAGCAAGGGATGGAACCCGTAGGCGCTCGGCCGCTCGACCTGATCTCTGTACTCGCTGGACGCGGGCCGCAGCGTTCCGTCCGCGTAGTAGGAGGGATCCCGCACCTCCAACTCCTCGAGCAGGAGTTTGGCCCGCTCGCAAAGGCGAGCCTCTTTTGCCGCCCGCTCCTCGTCGCCCTCCTCGTTGCCATCAGCCGTCTCTTCATTGGCTTCCATAAATTCGAACCCCCACATAAAGTCCATGGCCTCGACAAGGCATCGCAGAGGCGACGGAGTGGTTGCTCGACGCAAGTTCGCAGAGGGCTCAAAGGCGAGCAAGTTGGTGCAGTAGATATCGCGCATGAGTGGGAGCAGAGCCGGGGGAAAGGCGTACTGCCTCATATTGCCACCCTGGCCGGCCACGTGGACAACTGGCAGCATTGGAGAGTGGAACTCCAGGACGGCAGCGATCATGGGCGCATCGTTGCAAAGGTATGCCAGCTCTATGCTGTTTAGCGCCCGGCCTCCAAGGAGCAGGCGGCGCATGAGCTGAAGCCCAAGGATGCGGCAGTAGATCCAGCTGTAGTCCTTGGTGAGGAGGCTGTGCACCAACGCGCCCAGATCATGGAAGTGACCAGGGCAGTAGCCCGTGGGAGGAACAGGCCCCTCTTTGAGATAAGGCGTCATCCAGGGCCTCCTGGGTGCACGCGCGCATGCGGCGCAGTTCGCTGGGCAGGGGGGCTGGGGGAAGGCTGCCAAATCTACCAGTGCTCTAAGGCTAGCGGGGAGGCCCTCGCGCATGGTATAGAACTCCTCAATTAACAAGGGCTCGTTGCCGGCCTGCCCCCGCTTCCCCGGAATCCGCCGAAAGTTTGCCCATCTGAACGCAAGGCTCCGGACCGAGTCCCTAATGCCGTCAATGAAGTGATTCCGATAGGTGTAGGGGCAATCCCGTCCTTCCCGCGGCCAGGGCGCGTCCGACGGCTTCTGCGAACCGGGGCCCATGGGGGTAAAGCCTCCTGCTATCTTGGGGGCTTGGGAGCTGGGCTGCGTGATCCCCTTGATTTGCCGCTCAGAGCGGTCCTTCATGGCGCTCGCGTTTGCAAAGATCGTCCCGTCCCCGACCACGACCTTGTCGCAAGTAAAGGCATGGGTGCGCAGGTCGTCAAACGCCCCCTCCCTCGGCCCCGGCTTCCAGACCTCGCCAACCGCCTCCGCCTCGCGACGCGCTGCCAATACCTCTGACGTGTAGAGACCACTACACTCGACCTTCGAGCACACGTGGCGGATTTCCCGCGCCGCAAGCCGGTTGAATGCCTGGATGGCCGAGGCAAATGTCCGATCGTCCTGTTAGATTGTATCAATGCATCTGGTAGACAATCACATGTTGCAAACAACACAATGGCACGAGCGTCTCTCAAAGGCGCCTTCTTCCTTCCTTCATGCTTTTCTGATTATGATATCGATCATGTTCCTCCTGCTCAAGTCTATAGTCTCACTTCACTCTACAGACTGAGCCTA